GGGCCTTATCCTTCTTCTTCTTCTTGGCGTGCCCCCCCCCCAAGCATGGCACGGTCGACGGGGTTGAGGCAGACCCTGCCCGCCCCCTCGGGTCCGGTGGGGAAGCCCTCCCGTGCCCCCACCTGCCAGCGCTTCAGGCGCCCGTCCCGTCCCCTCTCCAGCCGTCGCCGTGCGCCTCGGGTGCGCGCCGCCTGGCCTGGATCCTGTCCTCGGAGCATCCCACGCAGGAGGCTTGCAAAAGCAAGCGCGGGACCAAGGAGGCCTCGGCTGAGTTCTTAAGGTCCCCCCCCCTCCCCGGGTCACCTTTGTTCTTTACTCCCGATTGGGAAGGGGGGGCTCTGGATGTAAACAACAGGTGAGGATGGGGAGGCATCCATGCCCTTTCCTGGTCTTCCCAGAAGAGGGGTCTTGCTCGCTGCTGTAGAGCCTCTGGATTAATGACGGGTCTTCCTCCAGGTTTAAACACCTTCATTGGGGCTCACCTGTCTAGAAAACTGGCTGGATAGCTCCGGGGTTCCAAGTTTTCTGGCCGCAGAGCCAGCAATGGGGAGTTCAATCCCCCCCCTCCCGCTGTACCTCTTGGGAGAAAAGCCAGCCTGGGTGGCCTTGGGCAAGCTGCACCGTCCCAGGGATGCCCCCCAGAAAGAAGGGCCTGGGGAACCCTGGAAAGGGCTGCCGTTAAGTCAGAACGGACCCCAGGACACATCACTGTTATCGTTCGTCCCGACAGGTAGCGGCTAATCCAATAGCCGGTCGCTTTTTGACACTGAAAGATGGTCGAGCGGTACCTCTTTTGGAATCTAGAATGTTAAAAAATTAAGAGGTTGACTCCGTAGCTAGAGGGAACAAATCCTATTCAGAAAAGTATGAAGATATTGGTTTCCCTGAAACTTTGAGTTTTTTCAAGGTACACTCTACTGAGATGGCTTGAGTGCTGGGCCGGGTTTGTGCCCTGAAACGGAGGCCTGCCTAATGGCTGTCACCCAGAACAATGCATTCTTAGGACTCTCCGGCCGTTAACAAGCTGATTAATTAACTAGCTGGTGGATGACTGTGACACATTTCCAAAGGTTGCTCTATGACTTACAGTTATGGTGATGCGCCATGCCTGCTTTGTCTGAATCCGCGTTCTGGACACACAGTGTATTAATCTTTCTTCATATCTCGTGCTCACCTCCATAGACGCTGTATGGCCTTTTGGTAGTGCATTTTAAAAATATTCAAAATCAGTGCAATGAATGGGGTTTCTATAGTACCCATATTCATTTAGGGAAGATTGTTAATATGGGTAGCACATGGCTAAGGAATTCTGATTGTGTTTCATGCCAAATTGAGTGAAGTACCTGCAAACTTATAAGACGGCGATAAGACTGCTGTTGCAGTGCACCAAATGTGTTATAGCATCTTCTCAGTTATCTTCACCGGTGATGCTGCGAGGTAGCCATTTCTAAAATCCTCTTTTACTCATGGGGAACTGAGGCTGACAGATAGGGACTTGCCAAAGGCTGACTAGCAAACGTCTGTCTTGATAAATACCCTGCATTTGAAACCAGATATCCCCAAACACAGTTTTTGTTACTGCTTGGGAACAAACTTTCTTTTTCCAAACTAAACATCTCTTGTGTTTTGTGTATATTTCTCTGTTGGTTCCCTCGCCTCTAGTGTTGGCTCATAACCAGGCACCAGTGTTAATCTACTCTTCCGTCTAGGGCTTCTTAACTATATATTTTTTTTAATCTAGTGGAAAATTCACAGCAATTCAAGACGGTTACGAAAGTGGTGTTGAGAAACCTGAGAGCTTAATCTTAGGAGAAAACCGGTGGCTCAGTGGGAAAGAAAAGAAATTATAAGCTGCAACATGTTTCTAAGACTTTGTTTTAGATTTCCTTGCCTCAAATTCTCAAGGAGTGGAACGGACCGAGTGATTCTACAGAAGTTCTGCTGAGAAGTAAACCTTGTTTACTTCAGTGAGAATTAACTTCTGGGTAAATGCGTGTAGGATTATAGACTAAATCCAAGCTCTGCTGTTAGAAAATGCAAGAATTATGAAGAACTGTTTTGTCCCTAGCGCCAACTTGCACGCGGTTGGCATGATGTGCTATATAATTTTAGAACGAGGGTCTCCACACCCATCTGTGTTTCCAGCTAAAAAGTTGAAAAGTAATTATCTATTTCTTGCTTTTCTGAAAACAACAAACTTAGTGTCTTGGCTTTGCAGGAAGGAGATTCAGAATAAGCCCATCAGGCATGAAGCTTCTCCCGCCCTCTGGGTCTCAGAGGTTAAATTTTAAAGAAGTTTGGAAAAAGAAGCTAAGAAATGGAGAATAAGTTGTTGGAGTGGATGGAAAGTCCCAAGAAGGGAGAATGTACTGTGAGAAATTACGATGGCACGGTGTATGACCATATTAATTAGATAAGGGGTTACTTTTTGTGGTTGATTAGACCAGTCTTCCACCGGCTTCTGCCTTCCAGATGTGCTGGGAAAGATATTCTGAATATCTGAACATCCCCAGCCAGTGTGGCTGCACATCTGGAGGTTTATTTATTTATTATTTATTCAAAACATTGTTACCTTTTCTCCTGAAAAGGACCCAAGGTTGCAGATCATTAGATGAAGCCCTTCAAGCTAGAGTCCCATTTTCAAAGAGGTATCTCTTTCATCTCAGTTTCCATCTCAGATCTGGTCTATTTCAGATTTTTCCTAGAAGTCAAAGGGAGTCTGTAAGTGACCAGAGATAAATCCAGACTTGTTATTTATTTACTTTCAACACATGTTGATAAACTGTCTTTTGCTACTAAGCTGCCACAAAGAGCAGAACAAAGCAAATGTAAACAATCAGCCGCATTGAAAGTTGAGCCAATTTGAAAGTTTAAGAAGCAGAGTGGAAATACCCAGGCTCCTATTGAAAGCATTGCATCTAAATGAAATAAGGTTTTGTTTTTTTGCTTTCTGATTAAAATGAAGGAAAGTTAGTCAAAGCTCCCTTGAGGGAATTCCATAGCAAATGTATAATCCTGTTTTCCCGTTAACTCCTATGGGTGGTCGGACTTAACAGCAAGCTCTTGGAAAAAACTGAACCGCGGACTCCATATTTATTTATTTATTTATTTAACTTATATGCCACCCACACTACCCGAAGGTCTCTGGGCGGCTTACAGCATTTAAAATACAATAAAAAGGCAAAATATTCCTGACTCAGGTGCAAATATAATAATTCCGGAAGGTGTGTCGGGATGTAGCCTTTCATAAATTGTTGTTGTGGGTTTTTCAGACTGTTTGGCTGTGTTCTGAAGGTTGTTCTTCCTGACGTTTCGCCAGTCTCTGTGGCAAAACATCTTCAGAGGACTAGAGTAGGAACTCTGTCCATGCTCTGTTGCAGTTTGTTCCCAAGGACGTCCAGAGCACAGACAGAGTTCTGACTCCTGTCCTCTGAAGATGCCAGCCTCAGAGATTGGCGAAACATTAGGAAGCACGGCCAAACAGCCCGGAAAACCCACAACAACCATCGGATCCCGGCCGTGAAAGCCTTTGAGAATACTTTCATAAATTGTATCAGTTATCTTTTAATGTTGATATTAGAAATATACTGATATTTTTTAGCTTTATATTTGTAGCGCTCTTGGGAGGGCTGCACACAGACGAGAAGGGAGTTCCAAAATCATTATTGTAGTTAGGAGAAGCATTTTTATATGATGAGACATATATACATGTTATTAATTCTAGAAAGGCACCCTTGATTGCTTTCTGCATCAAAAGGTTGTGTTGCATGCAGGAACAGCATGTGAGGAGGTGCAGTTTTCTAGAGTGTTTCAGGGAACAAAGGTCATAGGTTTCATTGAGTCACAATCATGGATGCATTGGTGGAAATGATAAACTAAGTCACACGTTATATATATATATAAATGCATAGATGCATTTGTATGGAATCATAGAATTTTGAAGTTGGAAGGATAAGACCATCAAGTCTGGTTCTTAGTTCTGAACTGGGGCTTGGTCGTGATGGTGGAGATAAGTTAAATGACGAGAAATAGCAGTGGAGTAGTTTACCCTGTGGGATATAATGGAGGTTTTGCACCATCAGAAGGCCTCCATGTCATATTTCTGAGTTTTCAACAGATACCTCCTGCATGCTCATTTTTTTCCTCTTCCACCTTAGTTTGCTTCTTTCCCTTTTAAAATAAAAGTGAAGATTGGTTCAGAAGACCAAATCCTGACTCTTAAGTTCTGTGCGACTTAAATGGATTCAGCGTGGTTTGCTGTCCGCTGGCCAAATCAACCCTTTTGATCAGTGAACGCTTTCAAGATTCGAGCAAGAACGGAGTGTATCTCCCTTTCTCAAGCTCCTTCGCCGAGAGGGCCAGGCTTCAACCTTTGCTCTCCAGGCGCGCAGGAAGACGACCAAAAGACAAGTGTTGTGGAAATTTCCCTGGCTAAAAGCCAAGGCTTTTAAGAGGTCCCCGAGCTGTTCGGATTTTTTTTTTCAAGGTCTCCTGAATCGAACCAGCAAGCAGGGGACTGGATGTGTGGCAGAATTTTTCGAGCAAAATCAGTGCCATCACCGGGGGGGCGGGGGGACTGCTGGCTCTTAGGAAAGCTTAAAAATAAGAAATGAAGGGAGGGTAGGCCCTGTGCAATGAATTTGTTGATGCACGATCTCTTTGAGAGGTGAGGAGGACTGGTGGGTTTCTGTTTCAAATGAGTGGAGGGTAGACCCTGTGCAATGAATTTGTTGATGCACGATCTCTTTGAGAGGTGAGGAGGAGGACAGGGTTAACGGCTGTCCACTGTCAATGCTTCCGGGTGCTATTTCCTTTAAGACCGATGCCAGCTTCTTGGTAGCAGCTGTTTATCACCGTCCCTTCTCTGTCAGCACATGACAGAATGCCTCTCTGATTTTTTTTAGCCCTCTGCACTTGTGTTTACCCCCCCCTTTTTTTTGCCTACCCGGGGGATCCCTTACGCAAGATGACAATCTTGGGATCCTGATGAATATGTGTCATGTGAGTGCTGAGGCCCTTGACTAGGCGTTATGGAGCTGCATCCAGACGTAGTTCTTGAAATGTGTGCCTTAACTGGGCGTACTTTAAAAGAGAAAGTAAAAACACCATTAAGGTTTGCTGTGTGCATATATCACTTAAAACAACAACAACATTCTGCCGTCAAGTCAATTCTGACTTATGATGACCCTTTTCAGGATTTTCTAGATAGAGGATACACAGACGTGGTTTGCCATTTTGTTGTGGAAGTGCAGCTTGCCCAAGGCTACAACAGACGTGGTTTGCCATTCTCTTGTGGAAGTGCAGCTTGCCCAAGGCTACACAGGCTGGCTTTTCCCCTCGGAGACCCAGTGGGAGAATCGAACTCCCAACTTCTGGCTCTGCAGCCAGATATTTAAGCCACTGAGCTATCCAGGCAACTTATTCTAAAAACTAGTGTACCTTAAATGCACATGAAAGAATTGTTTGAATGGAAGAGTCTTGAGAACGCATGGCTTCTGAGTCTCTGAACCCCCGTCTGTGAAAGGCACACAGTGGTTCAGCATTTCTTGGCCTTCCTGGGTGACTCTTAACTAACCCGTGGCATTCCCTGTTCCCACTCTAAAGGTGTCTTGGTGGGCGTCGTCCTTCGTTATGGCATCCATATTCCCAGCGATATCAACAACGTCACCCTAAGCTGCCCGGTGCAGACGAGTCCGGCCACTTTGCTAGTCAACTTTAGTGGGAAGTTCTACGAATACACCCTGAAAGGGGAAATCAGTTCCCACGAGCCTAATAATGTCCAGGATAATGAGATGCTCAGAAAGGTAAGCTTGGTGTTTGGTGTTTTTCCATACTTTCCACCCCAGAAGGTGACATTTGCTCTGGAGAGGGGCGGTGGGGTGTAGTCTCCTTGGCCTGGCCTCAGGCTCCCAATGAATCCTGAGAAAAGTAAACAAGAAGCCTTTTTAAAAAATTCCCTCCCCCTCCCGTCTCTCCTCCCCTTCTCTCCCTGATCCCTTTAAGGACCTACCAATAAAACTAGTCTTTCCTGAATTTCTTCCCCATCTTGCATATATTTGATATAATTAGCCTCTGGGCATCTCAAGTCTGCTAGCTAGAGCTTCTGAATTGACACTTATGCCTCTCCAGTTCTCCTTTCTTGCTATTTGTGCCTATGGTTCAACACATACACGGGGTCGAAATATGAGCTACCTCATGCTTCCAGTTCCCATTTTTAATAAGGGCCTGAGTTGCTTTAATCTTTTTTGAGGGTAATGGGAACTTTGCAAATTGCAATTTGAACCTTGAGTCCCACACTTGGTGTCACAGACACCCGCACGTGCCAACGTGTAGTTGTATTTAATGGCTTAAAATTTGTTTGGTCGGCTGGCGAGCCTTGTATTGTGGTCTAGGCAAAAATCTTCTGTATCTGGATGTTCATTCTTCCTTCTTTCTTTTCTTAAACAAAACCCTACAGGTCACGTTTGATCCAGAAGTGTTCTTTAATATTCTCCTCCCTCCAATTATATTTCACGCAGGATACAGCTTGAAAAGGGTATGTTCTGGGTCATTTTAAAACTTTTAACAGTTCAAAATGTTCTGTTTTTTTTCTGTTGCAGTTGTATAGTCCTTATATTTCCAAGATTACAAAATAAGCACAAAGCCTTTTCTATGTACCCTTGTAGAAAGGGAGAGAAGTATTTTTTTTTTAAAAAAAGAACCCAGCCAGAAACTTTTTGTTTTTATTGTTTTTCCCCCACTGCCTAACGGCAACCAGTTGTGCAATTGAATCCGAGGCTGAAAACAGGTGGTCTCCACATCCTGACAAGATTAGATTCTAATGACTCATTTCCACATTCATCTCACATGCAGAGTGCTCACCAACACACACACATACAAAAAAGCCATGCTTAAGCTATGTGAAATAGCACAATACAGTCGTGCCCCACTTTATGATTGCCCTGCATTACGACGAATCCGCTTTACGAAGATCTTTTTGTGATCGGAATTGCGATTGCAAAACGATGGTCTAAATGGGGGAATTTTGCTTAGTGATGATCAGTTCCCTGCTTCGGGAACCAATTTTTGCTTTATGACAATCAAAAACAGCTGATCATGGGTTTTCAAAATGGCCGCCGGGTGCTTAAAATGGCTCCCCGCTGTGCTTAGGGACGGATTCCTCGCTATATAGGCAGCGAAAATGGCTGCCGTATGGAGGATCTTTGCTGGACTGTGAGTTTTTACCCCATTGGAACGCAATGAACGGGTTTCAGTGCGTTTCAATTGGGGTTTTTATTTTGCTTTACGATATTTTCGCTTAAGGGCGATTTTCCTGGAACAGATTATCGTCGTTAAGCGAGGCACCACTGTAGTTACAAAGGAAAATGTGTTGGAAATAGCAAACGGGTCAGGGAAGAAAATCTGGTCCTCCTATTCATTTACCAAGGCTGGAATCCTATGTATTCCATCACAGAAGTCAGCCAAACTGACCGTCACATTCCTTTGTTTCATTGCAAGTGTTCCTGCAAGGACTAGCTACCTGAGTGGTTTTTTTTTAATGGATGGTTGTGCCTTGCTGCTAAAAGTGTGGGTTTTTTTGTGTTGCTTTTGTTGACTGTCTTTGGAGGCATGGAAGCTGCTTTTTATCGCAAAAGGCATGGAAGCTGTTTTACTACGTTTTGGATTTAGCTGTCGTTACAAAGGAAGATGTGTTGGAAATCGCAAACAGGTCTGGGAAGAAAATCTGGTCCTCATATTCATTTAACAAGGCTGGAATCCTGTGTATTCCATCACACAAGTCAGCCAAACTGACTGTCACACTCCTTTGTTTCATTGCAAGTGTTCCTGTAAGGACTAGCTACCTGAGTGTTTTTTTTTTAATGGATGGTTGTGCCTTGCTGCTGAAAGTGTGGTGTTTTTTTGTGTTGCTTTTGTTGACTGTCTTTGGAGGCATGGAAGCCGCTTTTTATCGCAAAAGGCATGGAAGCTGTTTTACTACGTTTTGGATTTGTTCTCCAAGGTCCTTAACTAGAAATGGGCACAAACTGCCGAAATGGCAGTTCATGCCGGGTTTGTTTTTCAGCTGAACAGGTCTTTAAAGGTTCCCCTCTGCCCTGCCTCCTCTGGCAGGCGCCCACTCAGAGGGTGAGTGCCCAGAGGAGGCAGGGCACGGAAGTCTGGGTGCTGCTGCCACTGAGTGGGCGCCCACCGGAGGAGGCAGGGCTAGGAAGCGCCGAATGCCTGTTCGGATGAAAAGCAAGCCGGCGCAAATTGTCGGTTCGACAGTTCGTGCCCATCTCTACTTTAGATTTTTAGTGAGTATCGTATAAAAATCAAAACTCAGGATGTGCTCAGAATTCTGGTACGTTGCATTGGAATTCCTCCAGAAACTCGACTCTGCACGGAACGATGTCATGTGATAAGATTTCCAGCTTATGAACGAACAGCGGGTTGCTTGTGGGTTGTGTGTCGATCTGTAAATAGAAGACACGCACAGATACGTGGACCCACAGAATCACGGGGTGGGTTGTGGTGCTTAGTCTGGGCTGTTCTGTTTCATGTTCTTGCTTGTCTTCTCTTCTGCAATACAAAATCCGTGCTTCGTTTCTTCTGAGATTGGAGGGGTTGCCTTGTTGAATGAGGCCTTTTCGTTCCAGCAGTGGCCTCTGCCTGCCTCTGAGATGCTCTTAATTAACTAGACGAGGGAGGTTGCGAGGTTCGTTCGCAAGACTTGTTGTGCAGAAAGTCTGTGGTCTCCGGAGTGTTCTTCTGTAGTTCTGCCCTGCTTACTGAGCTCGCCTCCGTCAAGTTTTCTATTTCTTGTTCAAGAGTTTTGTGAAATACTACTATTAACGCCTTGTGTGGGCGACTTCCATTAATGAATCATGCGTGATGCCAAAAATCCTCCGTGTCTTTTCGGTTTTCAGGGCAAGGCCAGGCAGTTTCAGGGGAGTGAACTCAGTTTCTTGAATTCTAAGAGATGGGAAGAGGTTCCCCGATATATGTCACTTCCTCTCCAGTACCTTAGTGATAACATAAAAGGGTTTTTACTGGGCCAGTGCATGTCCAGAAGAGAAACACGCTCAAAGCAAAGCTTATCTAAAAATATACTTTGTAGGTCAGCGCTGTGGAATTTCTGTCTCTATTATCTGCTTTTCAGGGCTGTGTGAAACAACAGGGTTGTGACATCCTAATGGCCAGAGTACATTTGAATGTTTATGCAGATGCAAGTGACAACTGCTGGATAGCTCATACGCTGAGGTCTAAAGGTGGGGAGCTAGAGGTTGGGAGTTTGAATCCCCCCATGGCTGGACTCCATGATCCAGAGGGTCCCTTCCAGCTTGGCAGTTCTAAGATGAGGAGGATAATGATTGCTGTGACTCTTTGATGCTGTGAAAAGTTACTCATGAAAAAGCCTATGAATTTCTTGTCGTGCATTAGTTGTATGACTGGGAACTGAACTGGGGACTATTCATTCATTCATTCATTCATTCTAGTTACTCATGAAAAAGCCTCTGAATTTCTTGTTGTGCATTAGTTGTATGACTGGGAATTGAACTGGGGACTATCCATCCATCCATCCATCCATCCATCCATCCATCCATCCATCCATCCATCCATCCATCCATCCATCCATCCATCCATCCATCCATCCATCCATCCATCCATCCATCCATCCATCTCATTCATTCAACTAACTTATATGCCACCCACGCTACCCAAAGGTCTCTGGGCGGCTTACAACAATTTAGTGGCCCTTTGCTGCTTGCAAGTCATCCCATTGCACTTCCTCTGGAGTAAATATTTGGTTGGGAGTCTTCTGGACAATTTCTGATCAGCCAAATAGCTACGGGAAATTATCTTTGGGCACAGTGCTTTTGAATGATCACAAGGCAGGATGTGGTCTTTGTGAAGCCAAGAGCTTATGACCAAGCAGCGTGTCAGTCTTGTCTATCTGTTTTCTGTTTCTTTACCAACATCCATAGGGTGTTTTTTTATTTTTTATTTTTGAAAAAACATTCCAAGCCATACTGGAAAAAGAAAGAACAAACGGCCATGCCTGTAAATCTGCCATATCCTTGGGTGGGAAGAAGGAGGTATGACTCATTCAATTCAGGGAACCCTATCGAGATGTCTTCAAAAACCTATGGTTAGGATGAGTATTTGACCATCAAATCTGAAGCAATTGTACTTTGCATTTTAAGATAACTGCAGTCTTCCTTTTTTTTTTTTTTTTTTTTTTTGTCTTTCTAGCGGCACTTCTTCCGAAATTTGGGATCTATCTTAGCGTATGCATTTCTCGGAACGGCCATCTCCTGCTTTGTGATAGGGTGAGTATGCCAGCTGTCCTTCTTCAGTTTCC